TCCAAGGTGCAGAACCTCTCTGCATCCTCAGAGTCCTTAGGTGGACCAGAAAAGATGGAAAACCCTAGTGGTAAAACCTCCACAGGTTCACACAGCCTCCCACGCTCCTTTTCACTGGCCAGTGCCTGGCTCTCAGAGGTAGGGGGTCTCTCCCCTTTCTGGGCTGGCCATGAGGCAGCTGTACTGGAGGTTAAAACTAGCGTGGCCTTTTAAAGTAACAGAGTGGGACTCATCTGAGTTGGGTTTAGCTCCTGGCCCTGCCAAGGCCCCCTGTGACCTGGCAGAAGTCACTCATCTCCCACTGGGCAGATCTAGCTGTTGAGGGCCTGGCACAAGGGAGCCTCTTGGGTTTCTGCCATTGTAATATGAACAATAGGAAGATGCGCAGAGCCTCACACACTCCAGCAGAGCTGCACCCTTTAGGGATTATAAAACCTGCAGGGAGAACTTTATCCAGGAGAGGCAGCTTTGAACTCAAGAGAGCTGAGCAGAGTGGCAGCAGGACGGACTTTTATGTGAAGTGAGTGCAAGTGCATTAGCAGCTGGGCACTTCCTTAGCAATCGGAGACTCATCAGAGCAGTGTGTACATGCATGTACCCCTGTGTACATGCACAGACAGACAGGCACACAGCCCTTACCAACCTCACCAGCTTTCACTAGGACTCGATTTGCTGTGGGCCTGACCCATTGGTTTGTCCACACTCTTTTTTTTTAATGTCAGGGAACAGTGTTTTAACCAAAGTGCTCTGGACCTGCCTGTTTCTAGTGCCCTCAAAGCCAACAAATGCAATGAAGTGTGATAAAAACCCATGGGCTTTCACTCTCCAGCAATGATAGCAGCTCTGGTCTCCAACGTAGAACTAAAAAGCCCAGCTTTCCTGGCTGAGATGCAGTCCATGGTCGCATCTATACCCAGAGATATGAGCAGAGATGTCCCTCTATTGCACTCTCATTGGGGGAAGCTGCTTTTGCCACAGATATTGGCTGCAAACATCAAGCGCGCCGGTTGTCATACTAGCAGTCCCACTGTGCCACACCCCAATCTGGTTTCTACCAACTCCCTCCTCGTAGACTCGGAGCAGGTCATAAAGAGCATAGTTCTCCACGCGTATGGAGCAAAATTATCCTTTTAAAAGGGTGTTGGGAAAGCCAGGTGGGTTGGGTTGGGAAAGGCAAAACTGCACGTGGCTTCTGCCAGGACGGGCTTGTCACCAATGGGCCAGGCTGGGACCCAGGAGAGTCTTAGCTCTGCAGGGATGCCCTGCACCTTAGCTCAGTCCCTGCAGGACCTCCTCCATGTCACCAAAGCAGCACACCCCAGTCCAGCAAAGGTGTTCAGCTCTGTGGCTCTCTGCTGAAGGCACCACTCATTGTGTCAGCCACGGCACTTCCTTTTAATGGGAGCTTATGTTCCCTTCAGCCCCTGCTACCCGGGGGAGGAGGACGATGGGGATTAATTCCTGGACCAGGCAGGGGCAACTTTTCACATGTTTTTATATTATTCCATTGCTCAAGAGCCCCTTTTGTGGCTGTCTCTGCTGGCCTCTCAGTGATCCTCTGGGATCTACCCCATTCTTCCTGGCCATGCTGCTGATGGCTGGGCACATGCTGCTTGCAGTTTCCTCTGACATAAAACACCTGGACCCAGTGATGCTGCTAGATGGGGATCCCCACAAACACATGGGCCACCTGCCTGCCCAGATGGGGTAAGCTTCCCAGCCTGCGGTGGAGCCCTCCTGATTTATGCCAGCTGGGGGAGCTGACCTTGCCAACTCTCAGCTCACTGCATCCTGAGGCACATCCAACTCAGCTGCCCATGCTCAACACCCTGCCCCCCAAATCCATCTCCCGGGTCTAAAAAAACTCAGAGGTTTTTTTGAGCTAGGCAGTCCTGGTCCTCTCCTGTCCTGCCCACATCTTCCAGATGAGATAAAGGGGGTGGGGGGAAGACAAGGAGACTCTCACCCCCACCAGCAAGGACCATTCAAACCTGGTTCCTGTAATAAAGTGATTTAATAGATCTAAAGAGGCCAATTCCCTTCTTTCTCCCACAATTACTTCCTGTGGGTCATCATTCACATATGTAAATGGAGAGGGGAAGGAGTGGGTCATCAAGGAGGCTGCAGGCATTAACCCAGTGTCTGGTGTGGGGCATTGTGGAGGATGGAGATATCCCCCATGGCAGACACGTCCCACCCCCCATTCTCAACACCTCGCCAGACACCTCCGGGCTTGACTGTGTCCATTTGTCCACTTCCTCTGGAGACTTTGGTTTATGGCCCCCTCTCCTTTGACCCTGGGCACCATCTCTTTGTATCAAGGTCCCCACATGCTTGAGTTCAGCAAATGCAGCACCCAGAGGGCTACCAGCCGCGAAGCCCTGTACCCAGGGGACAGTGGCAGGCAATGCTCCCTTGACAGGGCTTCAGTGCATCTCCACCCTGTCCCAGAGAGCGACTCCAGAGAAGGGAGGAGAATTTGCTGTCTCTCTCCCATTCAGACCTTGGCTTCTCAACTAGGGTAGCCAACACGGCCCAGTCTCAATGACATATTTGCAGGAAAAGGGGCAGCAGTGCCGAGATTGGGTTTCATTTCCCATGGACCAAACTGCCTCGCACCACCAACCTGGGGCTGGATTCAAATCAGGGATCTCCAGGTGAAAAGCTCCCTATTCCATTATCAGACCAAAGCCAGCTAGTCCCTCGGCAAGGAACTCCTCCACCCGAGAAGCAAATCTGGAGATGCCTTGTCCCTTTATCACACAGTAAAGGAGGAAGCTTGCAAGCTGAGAAGTTGCCATTTGAGCACCAGAGGTACCACTGACCCTCCTCTCCCGCAGGGCCATACACACAGACAAGTGCCATGAATGAACTGGCCCCATCCCTTCCATCGAAATACAAGCCATTCATTACCTATCACAGCAAGGACTCAAACTCAGGGCTCCCCAGACCACATCCTGGGTGAATTAAGGAAGCTGGACGTCTAAGGCCTTTCTCTAGACAGTGGGTGGGGACAGTAACAGCGGGCAGAGACACCCTGGCTTGTTCTCTTTTTGTGCAGGAATGTTAGTGCCGGCAATCAGAAAACTAGACTGTCTGGGGGCCATAAATGCTGGGGAGAATGGAGGATTCCCACCCACAGACTCCATTACTCGGGCTCACATTGAATTTCACACACCGCGCAGAGGCACAAAAGATTTGGCCATTTTCTCTAGCAGAGAACTTGGCTCCGTCCATCACTGGACACAGTGACCACTCTCGGTCATCAGGGCACCATGGTCCTGGAAAGTCCTTTTGGGCCAGAACCTGGTTCCCTGCATCCACAGACAGCCTTTTATCCAGAGAGTCCTAAACGGGTCCACTCCAGCCCCGCATGTACCCAGTCACAAAGCCCCTGTGAGAACAAACCCAAGGACCCCCTGCAACAGGAGGCAGGGGAAGCAAGGGCATCGCCAGCAGAACGGTAAAGAAGTCTCTAGGTGTTCCCAGGTGAGCTGGGAATCCTTGGCCTCCAAATTCAGCTGATTTTATGGCCCACCAGCAGGACGGTAATTAGAACAAAAGGAGTTCCCTCTGTTTGTGCTGTGCTCAAGCGCTGCTTGCCCTCTCCCACAATAAGGGAATTCGGGTTCCCATCTTCTTTCCTTCTGGAGCTTGTATGTTCCACCAATGTACTCCGGCCCCACCTGAAGGGACCAATTCTCTCCTGGAGCCGGTGCCTCTAATCCCACCTCTATTACATCTCATGCTTTCCACACACACTTGGTCAACTGCATGAAAACCCAGCCGCTGACCACCACAAATTCTGGGCAAGTCCTATACTGAGCCCTTCCAGCCACAGCCATCAGAGACCCCAGAAACAACTCTGTCCTCTGCAGCTCTCATTCCATTTGTACTGAGTGAAAACATGGGGGGATACCCCACATCTCCCAGAGAAATTCACCTGGTCAATGCACATTAAATATCCACTGCCTGGAAACAGGGAGAGCATCATACCACAGGCATTGCCCTGGCTTTTCAATAAAGAGAACAAGCACATGTTTCTTTGATCCCATTCACACTGGGAGAATAAATCCATGTTTGCTACAAAAAACCCACACTCCATGCTTCATAGCTGCAGCCCTCTTGCTGGTCCATCCTGGCCAACTGACCTCATTCGACCTGTGCCCGGAGAGCCGCAGCAGCAGGTACGAGGCAAACCATCCACACCCCCAAGAGTGCCAGCACCCAACCTCTGGCTCTCCTCCAGAAGCAGTCAAGCAGAGCCCTGCAGCCTCATTGCACTGCGAGGGCTGTAGATCGCTTTCCAAAGTTGGACCCTTTGCTCGCTGCTAGTGGTCACTGCCCCACCACCCTGCCCAGTTCAGAAGCTGGATCCTGCAGAACGATGCAGGTTTTTAGTCCAGGTGGGCAGTGCTCATGCATGCCCTTGCCTGCCAGGTGGTGGATGGGTTGGTGCTTTGGGTTTTGTTTGACAGCTGGAGCCACCACCTGCTGTAAAGCCCCCCGCCCTCCCTCGGTGCCAACTGGGTTCTGGGGTGGGCTTGGGTTTGACCCGTGTTAGGAGCAAGCCTGGGGCCCACAACCCCAGGGTCTGGGTTAAACCCCAGCTATGGATAAGGCATAACCAATCACGGTGCCAAGGCCGGTGGAGTGGGGGGCACCCAGAGGCCTGCCAGGGTGGAGGCTGTCTTTGGAGGCAGGTGAAAGCTTTGTCCTTTGGCAGCTCCTGCTGCCAGCTCTCCGCCCCAGAGCCCTGGATGCCTCTCGCGGCCGCCTGGGGCTTTGCTGCATCTGCCCGGCTCCGAGGGCTCCAGGTGGAGCATCACAGAGAGCGAAAGCAATCTCTCAGTAGCGGCTGAGGCAGCTCTGGCCGGGCTCCCTCCCTGCCCCCGCTCGGCCGGTCCGGGGGCCCCCAGGCCCTCCTTCCCAAGCGGCTCACCCCACGCCGGGCTCCCCCGGCCCCCAGCCGAGCCCCGCGGGCGACCCCCGCGCCCTACCTGGTGCACGAAGACGTCCACGGGCGAGTCCAGCGCGGTGCCCTCCCTGCTGGTCATGGAGAGGAAGCCGAAGCCCATCCGCACGTTGAACCACTTGCAGATGCCGGAGCCGTGGAGCAGCTGGGGCTCGTCCTCCGCCTGCGGGGAGTCTCCGGCCGGCTCCTCGCCGCCCTTGGCGCAGCCACCTGGGAACATGCGGCCCGACCCTGCTGAGCCCGCGGCCCCCGAGCCCCGCCGTCCCCTCCCCGGCCCGGGAGACCCTCGGCTGCACCCCCGTACTGTCCCAATCACCCCCCTTACTGGTCCCAGTTACCCGACCATTCTAGCCCCAATTACCCGTCCTTACTGGTCCCAGCTACCCGACCATACTGGCCCCAATTGCCCCTCCTTACCGGTCTCAGTTATCCCCTTCACTGGTCCCAATCATTCTGCCTTACTGGTCCCAGTTACCCCCCTTTACTGGTCCCAGTTACTCCCCCTTCATAATCCCAATCACCACCCCCCCAAGTCCTGGTTACCCAACTACAATGGTCCCAGTTGCCCCGTTTACTGGTCCCAATTACTCTCCCTTACTGGTCCCAGTTACCCCTCTTTCACAGCGTCGTGGGGGGCCTACTGCTCCCTCCAGGGGGGAGCACCCCGGGAAACCCCCCCAGGATCTAGCCTGGAGCCGGGGCCTGCTGGCAGAGGGGCAGAGGGAGCCGGGCCGAAGACCCCGGCCCCACCCCCGGGGATCCCGGCTCACGGGGATCCCATCGCCGGCGAGGAGGGGTGAGGGGGGTTCAGCTCTCCCCCCTCCCGTTGCAGGAAAGTTTTTGTCTTCTCTTTTTTGTGGCCTCTGGAGTTCCGCTGACCCCGGCCCAGGGACCCAGCACCGCCGCAGCCCCCGCCC